TCTTATCAGCCAAGCATCCTAGACACTACTTCACAAATATTAAGAACAGAAGCAAGTGGAAAATACTGGGGCACGAAAATTAGATCGATCGATCGGGTCAAATAAACAGCACGATTGATAAAACTCCCTCCAAAATATGGACGTAGAGAATAAAAACTCGAATGAATAGTTGAGCCATACCAAGAATAATTGCCCGGGTGAAAATGTAGTTGGGGGGTGCCAGCACCCTTTTGTGTTCTGCGTCTCTTCATTTCTTACCCATCTAATCATCTCACTCACCCCGGAGCTCCTCCTCTGACTTTTAGAAGGGGAGGAATCCATCTGTGCGATCTCTGTGCACTCTGCCACCAGTGTCAGAGACGCAGAGTACAAATGGGCGCTGGCACCCCCCAACTACATTTTCACCAATTGCCCGAATATTTACGTCAAATTTGGGGGACTGGACACGCATTGCTCGTTGTAATCAGAATTTTCACAGCGATAGAACAATTGCAGTTATTAGAGGAGTGGTTGAGATAGTTTTCGTACCTTACAAGAAAGAGTTTAGCTGATTTTCTTTTTCTTTTTTCTTTTTCAATGACTCAGAAACTGACAGTGATCGGTTGACGTAGATCGCAGATAACTCGAGGAACGCGATGCCCGACAATGCCGGGTACAAATCAAGAACTGATTTACAATGGGCACTTGAGAGATAAGACAAAGTTTTGAATATCTTAGGAGAGGTCATTTCAGAATGGAAGTCGTTGTAGCCACTAACTGTTATCTGTCCTTTTCGATTGGAAACTAACTAGTTCTCCGAAATGATTATGAAATCTTCAGAGATTAACCCGAAAAATTTGGGAAGATCAAATACTTCATGGGTTTTCCGCGTTACCAGGAAAAAATGCGCTCGTTCTTTTTAGAACTCTTCCACAACGAGAGATTGCTTGACAGTGTTATCAGAGCAGCGAAAATGAAAAAGTACATGTTTGCCAACGAAAGAATTGAGAAACTCATGGCGAAACGGCGAATTGCCTACTTTACTGAAGGCCGTGATGATGACGTGATGGAGCTGGGTGAACTGGTCAATGGACGAATTGCAATGTACAGGGTGGGCCAAAATTATGATTACACAGAAATCGCATCGCAGAAAACGAATAGAAAGCCAATAGAGCAAACCAATTTCATTAAAGGGTTCAGCACAAATTTCTTATCAAAACTGTATATTGAGACTGGAATCTGTTGCTTTCTGCTTTCACCCAACCCCAAAGACGACGATGGACGGCACTGACGGTGGCACGCAGCTAGGGTCATCGAAATGGTCCCTTGCTAGG